TATATATATCTGTTGATGAATTTAAGAATCTAGATATTTTGGCTCGGTGGAAAAAACAATCATAACATCTAGTAACAGTCGTCATGACCCATGATTCATGTCCAAGTTTCTAAAATAGATTCAAATTCGCTTCTTCGATTAGGGCCAATATAATATTGGAACGTAGGTCAAGAACCTCCTTCGAATCAATGGAAGTTTGCATTTGTTTAAAGGTTCCTTGGATGGCATAGAATCGGAGATAATATGTAGTTTTGCTTAAATGCAAACTAGAATCGGTCGAACAACAAATACATGAAGAGGTTATATAATCTCCAACAACCAGAGTGGACGAGGAAGACGGTAACGAATTAGACAACCAAAAAGGAGACACATAAATTAACAAATTGAAGATACGATGAAAAAATAAAAAATTGTAATTGGTTTCCTAGTTTTATGTTTTTGTATTTGGTTTATTATTCTTTTTATTTAAAATCAAATATAATCGACATATATATTTGATTGCAATTAAATTAGTGTTATAAATTCATTTTTGGTATTATTTTTTTTTTAATTCGGTTTAAACCGAAAAAGGTTGCAAAGGTTATACATTATTTCCTCTCAAACCGGTTTCAAACCAACGTGGTTTTGTAAAACCGATTTGAACGGTTAAAAAAAACAAACTATTTGAAACCCATCCGGATTGATTTCACAACGACTTTATGCATCTTTAGGTAGACTGTGAGCATCTTTAGGTAGAATTGCCTCACTTGTTCATTTACATGAATTGAGCACTTCTACACTCGACAAAAATCAGCCCTCACTACATCGTTTACATGATGAAATACAACTCTTTAGAATACCAATTATAACAACATGATAAAATGACACAATGTTTATAAAGAGTACCATGTAACATCTTTTGTAACTAGATGCAAACAAGATTCAAACACTCAGAACTTACATTCAACCAATGAACCAATGCATCTTAAGCATAAGCACCATTATTAACCTAACTATACAACAATTAAACAGCATCGCCTCAAAACATGCACATATTTCAACACTCAAACTTGAGTCAATGATGAGGCAAAAGCACACTCTTTGTAAAAGATAATGACCCATTGTTGGAAGCTCCATGTATGTTGAGAATCGAAGTAATTAAATTATATATTTGAACATTCTCAAAAGATGGTACCTTTCTACCTCTAGCAAATCGAGGACCATGACCAATAAAAATCGATCTCATCGAAAAAAATGCATTATCATATCCATGTAAACCTCCACATTTATAACATTCCTTACTCTTCCAGTCCTTTTGCTCAACATTATACCCTTCATCCACTAACCCAATAATCGGAGGGATCCTATCACTTTCCCAATAGTGTAGCCTCGAAGGAAGGTCTTCTTTGAGATAAACTTTCAATTTGTCGTCATTTTTTAATGATCTCAATCCTTGGTTCATTTTGGCGACAATTTCAGAAAGGGATTGATCAGAAGGTGGACGAATAGATAACACAGGAGCATAATCTTGTGCCCATTCTTTCGGAATCTTGATCCAAGAAGCTAAATCATCTAAAAAGATTAATTTTTTATCACAAGTAGCAACCATTCCATGATCACCTACCATGATTATGGTAACATCTTCGAAAACCCCACGTTTTTCCAATCCGTTAATCAATCTACCAATCAACCCATCGATGTTACTAACAGCTTTAGTAACATGAGGATCATCAGGGCCAAATTGATGACCTTGATGATCAGGGTCCTCGAAATACAATGTCATGAAAACAGGAATTTCTTCAGTTGGTAAATCGAAATAATGGAGGATAGTATCAACGCGTTCTTCGAATGGGACTGATTCGTTATAGGGTGCACAGAAATTTACAGGACAATCCCAAGAACCCTTTTTTACCTCGGATCCAGGCCAGAAATATGTAGCCGCTTTGAGCCCTTGATTCGCGATTGTCTCCCAAATGGGTTCGCCTAGCCACCATTTGGGTTCATGGCTGGTAAATGTGAAAGTATCACCTGCGATCGGATCAATGAATTGGTTGTTTATGATTCCGTGATAAGCAGGGTATAATCCGGTGGCGATTGAGTAGTGATTTGGGAAGGTTAACGTTGGGTAGACTGGAATCAATCCGGTTTCAGCTTCGGTTCCGTTTTTGATTAGTCGATGGATGTTGGGTGTTGGGGTTTTAAATTGGTACCCAAATCGGAACCCATCTGAGGAAATGAGGATGACGACTGGGTGAGTGAGTTTACTGAGTGGCCGAGCGATTTGGAGAGCAGTGGTGCTGTGGTGGTGATTGGTGGATGTAACGGAGGAGAAGAGGAGGAGGAGGGAGAAGAGGAGGAGGGTGGTGGTAGAGGGTTTTGTTGGGGTGGTGGTGATGTCTGTGTCGAAAGAGAGAAGTGAAGTGGATTGATTTTGTGTGTTTTCTTCTCCGGCCGGCACCGGTGATGGTTTGATAGCATCTAATCCCATTTCAGTGAGAAAATTACACACATACAAGAACAATTTAGGGAAATTCTTGATGAGGTTTTAAAATTGTTGGATTTTGTGGTCTGGGTCATGTTAATTTTTTGATGAGTTTGGATGAAATCTTGAAAATCATGGAATTACGCGAAGCTTGTTTGTGGTTGGTCGACTGGGGATGGATGGATGGATTGAAGAGCATTATTTGCTTGTGTGTTACTTTTATGGATTTGTACATAACTTTGTCTATTGCGATTCAGCTTGACATTGGAAAATGGATATTTTTAGTCAACTTATTGGCGGTTTTTTTTTTTAAGTCCAGATGGTGTTGACTGGTCGACGTTGTTGTTAACCCACGCGCCCAATTCCAAAATTTTCTTTTCATATCTTTTTTATTTTTAATGTTTAAAAAAATGCTATGTAAATCTTTTATTTTGTGGTATGTATTTTTTTCCAAGTTTAGTCTAAACTTTGAATTTTTGGTTTCATGGTCTTTTTGAGGTAATTTATTTGTGAAATTAGTGTTTGTTAAACTTGAAAATATCACTATACCTCGGATCATCACCCCATGGTGACTCTACCTCCGATTTCCCCCCTTACAAATTTCATCTTTATCATAACATTCATAAGAACCCAATGCGTAGAGATCAAAAGAACCCACAAAATACAAGTAGAATTATAGAGAGAAGGTAGCACATTTTGAATCGAAATGCGTAGATTTATTATCTGCTCATTGTTGTTGCTCATAAATCACCATCTCTCACCGGAAATCGCACATATTAGTGTTCATACTCGAAATTAGTGTGTGTGTGTGTTCATCGACTAAACTCATCCTCTGCTTCTTTATGGTTTTCCAGTCAACCACATGAACCCATATCATTTGTTACAAGGAACAACAATGGTGAATTGCTAGTTGGAGGCTCAATCCTGCAAGATTAACAACCTTGAATATTTCTTGATTTCTACAAGATTAACAACCTCAATGTTGCTCGATAGCGGAATGTCGTCGTGTGCTTCCTCAAGGTTGTCGTCTGTCGGTCGGAGCTCAAAAAGGTGGGTGTTTTTGAAGTTGCTTCCGCCGGTTCTATTCTTAGTAATCAGGATCAAAGTCTCAAATTTTCGAAATAGATCTCGTTGAAGTTGATTATGTGCTTTTAATTTTGTGTGTGTATGTTTTAATCCTCATAAATGGTTGTGATGGTGATAACAGGGTTTGGAGTATGAACTATAGGTGAAGGGTAGGGAGGAAGATGATAGTGGTGGTAATTTTTTTTGGCTCATGTGTGTGGGGGGGTCTTTATTTGTTTTTACTTTTAAAATTTTAAATAAAAAGAAAAAATGTTTAAGAAAATAGAAAAACAAATTAAAATGGTAGATTAGTCTTTTCAAGTTTAATAGGGACTAATTCCATAAACAAATTACCTCAAAAAAACCATGAAACCAAAAATGTCGAGGTTTAAACTAAACCTCGGTAAAAATACATACCAAAGGACCATTTTTGCAGTTTTGTCTTAAATATAAACTAGTAGAAACCCCACGCGCTGTTGGTACGGGTTTGAATAAGTTTTGACCAAACCTGTAAAGAATTGATTGAAATTTGTAAATTTTGGAATCATAATAATGAGTACAACAATACAGTAAACCATGTAAAAAATCATTTATAATATTCTGCTCTAATATAGTTCTTGCATAACAAAAACAATTTATATGTAATAAAGGGCTAATTTGTAAAAAAGTAAGGAACTATAAGACAACCTACTGATGAATAAGATCATAATTTGGAAAATGAACAGCTTGATGCGAAATCCCATCAAAGAAGTCCATAGAGCTCCGAGCGACAATCTAGGAACAAAAAAACATAAGGATCAATATTAAGCCGAATCAAGAGAACAACATTATTTAGATGATTAATTCAAAAAAGTTTCTCACCTTTAGCTTTAATTGTTGAACATCCCAATAGAATAGAAAGATTAAGAGGGTGTTTGGCTTTGCTTTTAAAATAACTTTTGAGACTTTTGGCTTTTCCAAAAAGTCAAAAGTTTAAAAAGTTGTTTGGTAATTAGAAAAGATCTTTTAAATTAGCTTTTTGAGAAGAAGAAAAATAAGGCTTTTAAGAAGTCACGAATATGTGACTTTTGGCAACTTTTGTCTTTTTTCTCTTTCCACCCTCAAAAATTTAAACAAACATATTTTAAAACTATCTTTTGGAAAAAGATATGAATCAAAAAGTTCTTTTCTAAAAAAGACTTTTTGGTCTGTAAAGCTATCCCAAACACCCCCTAAGTATCTAAAATGCAATAATAAAACATTTATATTTAGAAAGTGTCAAACAAAGATAGGTTGATGAGAAGCACTAATCTTATATGTGACTTGTTTTCAAATGGAAGCATCATTTGTTGCCAAAATACAACTACTGAGTAGAAAGTAGAAGTTTTGTAGCATAATGAAGGTGGATGAGACCATACCAACAGTAATGTCGCATAGAAATTAACCATGTGCAATGAGATAAATCGGTTGACTTATGTTTTTATAAAAAAAAATTAAAAAACACCAAGCTGCAATGTTATAAATGGGTTGACTTTTAAAAGAAAAAAATGCTTATACTAAGAAAATGAATGTACAATGTTGTAATTGGTAGATTTTTCAAAAGTAAAATTCCTAGATAAGATAAATGCGGTGATTTTTTAAATTCAAATGCTTTAGTAAAATGCATTTTTTCTTAAACAATAGATAATAAATAAATATAAAAAAACTAACATATAAAAATAAGTAATATATCAATACGCTTAAAGTGACAATTCTTTGTCAAACTCGATAAGTTGGAGATGCTCCAGATGAAGGTATTTGGTAAGAATATACATGTTCAAGTGCATACTCTACAAAATTATGTCAATAGTTAACAATGTTAAGAAATTAGGACTTGGTCAAAACATAAACACGTTACCAATAAAACAACAAAAATATGAATCAAAATGATGAGAAATTCCGACATTTTCAGAAGTAAAGCGAAGACTATGATCAACTAAAAAGTGACATTCAAGCAAAGCCTAAAGTTCAAAATGACTTGTTACAAATGCAGGGAAATAAAATGAAAATTTTAAATAAGATGATATATTGTTAAAAGTTAATAGGACTTAATGAACCAAATCTTATTTATCAAGTTTGAGTAGTTTCATTTATCATTTCTTTCTTTTTGGATTAACCATATCCACATACAATTTTTATGATTTTCTATCCGGATGCCAACCTCTTATGTTTCTACAGGTGAATGTACTTTCTTCGGAGATATCGGTTTAAAAAATTGGGATTTTCGTGGTTTTGAGTCACTGTATCTTTCAGATAGTTTGCTTGAAATAGGGATTTCACAAGTGCTTGTGATATATAACATAAATGATTTTCTTAAGACTACCTAAAGAGTCAACGAAATGTATGACGCCATTTCCCCACCAAGCAAATCCAAAAGCAAGTTGATTGAAAAATACCAAAATCCAAAACCAAATCATTCTCGTCCAACGGAAGTGGTGAAAATGCCATAAAATTAAGAGATTGATAATAACCTTATCAACTTAACCTTGTTATCATTTTGTTACTCTTTCAGAAATGCATAAGGTCATATTATTATAAGTTTTACCACTTTAAATGTAAATTCAGAAGGTCATTTTTTATCAGATTCAGAATCTGCAACAGCAACAGCAAAGTCACTAAGAAGAGGGGAAAAAAATCATACATCGGTTCCTGATACAGCAAACCGAAGCTATCCAAATTCAAGCTTTAGGTAAGAGAAAATTCATCGTTTAACCTGTGAATAATGATATTAATATGGCTTAAATGGTGAAAATAAGGTAAATGTTTCAACAGACAAGTAAGAAGCAAAGATGAAACGAAAGAACATAGGTGTGTCTCATTCTTGCAATTTCAAAATAAACCTTCCAAATTGTTTAGTGGGTTGTTTTCATAAGAAACTCAATTGGTAGATCCTGTATAACTGAATTAAGTATCATATATACTATGATTAAAAGGAGAAAAATATTACCTTTTAGAATAATTTTGAGAAAGATGAAGAGAGAAGTAACCTGTAAATCAAAGCCTTTTTTGAGATATCATCATTTTAAAGGATGTGAATTCACCTTTCAACATCTTCTTCTACTTGCCTTGCTTGTTGTAAATCAAAACCAATAGACACACAAGGAAACCGACAAATAATATTGAGAATTATATGTCGATTAGTTGCGAATAATAGATCCAATTATTATTAATATGATTACCAAGTTTCATCCAGAAACCAGATTACTCTTTCTCGATTATAAGAAAGGTAGAAGGAGAGTTTCATGTTATTGGATGAAATTAAAAACAAGACAATAATGTAAAACTGACCTGTTGACAGCTGATCTTGAACGTGGAATAACTGCACGGATCGGACTACTGTCCTTAAAGGTTTTTACTTCGCTTCTATCGACTATACGCAACAGAGTAAAAACTCAGGATTTAATGCAAATTTACCAAGTTTTGAACAACAATGGAAAATGATAAATGCAAAGTGAATACTGAGAAATCGGAAGAAATCGCAAAGAGAGAGAGAGAGAGAGAGCTTCGAAATTCGTGAGTCTCAAATACGACTCCTATGGAGCTGTATTTATAGGCATCGAAACCCTAGAAGGTAGAAAATGGGCCCACATGGGCCGGCCCCTGGAAACCCTAGGGCGACGACTTGCTCTCCAAGCTAGCCGTTTTCTAACCCTTCCAGAATATTATGTTGTCATATTTACGAAGTCATCCGTTTGACCAGATCAGTCAAACCGACTTCACTAGAACTTCTCCAAAAATAAAAGCTCCTCAGATCCCAGCCACCGATGCGTCGTGCGAAGTGCGCCTAAATCGCACCATTTCGCACACTCGCAGCATCGGCTAGTGGTAGGCTAGGCTAGGCGCGCGTGTGTGGGTTTGGCCCATTTCTTTGATCCACTAAAGCCCTTGAAGGCCTATCAAGGGAAAAGACTTATAAACTTACA